AACAATCATAATAGTAAAGTTGGAAGGGACTTTGGAGGTCATCTAGTCCAACCCCCTGCTCAGGCAGGAAACCCTATACCATTTCGGACAAATGGCTTTGGAAAATAAGTTGACCCCCCCTTCTTTGTGGCAGCCTCTCAAATATTGGAATCCTGTTATCATGTCACTTGTTTCTTCTTTTCTCTAGACTGGCAAACCCAAGTCCTGCAGCCGTTCTTTGTATGTTTTAGCGTCCAGGTCTTTGATCAACTTAGTTGCTCTTCTCTATACTTTTCTCTGTACTTAGTCTCTGTCTGTGTTTCTGTTTCTCTCTCTCTCTGTGTGTGTGTGTGTGTGTGTGTGTGTGTGTGTGTTAGTTACTTGTTAACTGTACAGAGTTGCTGGGAATTTAATAGTCAAATTCCAGCTAACATCATGAACAAATATTCATCATGTCTGCTTATCTCCAATAACTGCAATTCAGACGAAGGACAGGCCTAAAACCACTTGCATCTCCAGCAAATCACAAAGGTGCCAACATGTTGACATAAGTACAATGATATTTTCAACATAGTGTGTATTATAGTAAACAAGATGTTTTAAAGGGCACAAATACTACAAATGCTTGTCTTTAAAACCATCCCAAAATGACCCATTCCTGCTCAATTTTGTTGAATTCCACTTGGAAAGCCGGTGCCAGTTAAATTGGATTAAATCAACATGATACCTAAATGAAACTTTGCATCGATGCAAAATTTTTCCCACCACTATGTCAAAAAACAAACAAACAAAAACCTGTACACGCTGGACAAATGTTAATGGAGATTCTCAGTCATCCAGGTCATGGTTGTCATGAATTGAACAAGCTTCTTGGACCAGAAGTAAAACATTTTCCAAAAACAAAAAAAAACCCAAGACGCTCCAATTATCTTTTGGGAAAAAGCACCTTCGGCGTAGATGCTGATCTAGTTTATATGGCACTCAGCCAGCATGGTGAGTCAGACCCTGTGATTTGCAGACCACAGTTCATGTACCAAGCTTAGTTAGGGTTAATCTTAGATGATGATGATAATGAACTTTACCTTAATGCAGTGGTTCTCAACCTTTTTAATGCCGTGACCCCCAACCGGTCGTAAGTCGAGGACTACTCAACTGATCGTAAGTCGAGGACTACTCAACTGGTGTAGCACCGTTTGCAGACTGGGGCTTTTGGCGGGCTCAGCAGGGCAGAGACAGCCTGGACAATTCCTACTGGCTTTTGAAAGCCAATAGAATGAGACTCTATTCAAGAGAGTCTCTTCTATTGGCTTTCAAAAGCCAATAGAATAAAAGGGAGTAGCACAGCTAAGGAAAAGGGGGAAAAAGTGGCGGACTGCGTTGTTTGGCGACCCCCGTGAAATGGTCGTTCGACCCCAAATGGGGTCCCGACCCACAGGTTGAGAACCACTGCCTTAATGTGTTGTGCAAACTGCCGCTTTGTGCAATGCGCTGTTTGGATTCAGAAAATGGGTCAGCTCAGTAGAGCTAAGTATGTTGTACGAATGTACAAAGTGTGAATCTGCACACATAGACCAGGAAACTGTGGTGTTTTCAGCAAGCCACGCTGTCACAACACAACTAAGTCTATCTTTAAGCAGGCAAAGGCACAATTCACAATTGAGCGCAGGGGCCACAATCAGCCTTTCCTATAGCCTCTGGCTCCCTCTTGTGCCCAGAGGCTGTAATTACTACCTAAAGTCATGATAGAAGAGTCTGGACTTTTTTTTTTTTTTAAAGCATTTTGTGCACAGTATATTTGGGTCCTCTTTGGCGTCCCTCTAAAATCTTTATTATGGATGAAAAAGAAACAAGAGCAGGAGGATTGTGAGGGAAAGAGGATTTGCTTTGCATGCGGGAGATAAGTCTTGAACGTCAGAGAAAAAGCTCTGAATCTTGAATCCGCCTGAAACGGTCAACTAAGTCAGTGGCCCCAATCAACACCCACTTCCCAATCCTGTTCTGGTTGGAGAGGCTGGGGGGGGAATGAGGCCAAGCACCCCCCCTTTTTTTGTTCCCAAAGAACGGGCCACCCCACTTTCCCTGCCACTTCTGGGCACGTGGCAATTCTTGCTGAGGACCTAGGAGGTTATGTTCGCTACTTACTCTGCAGCGTAACTGAACGAGGCCAGGATTTGCGACGTCTTTTTCACAAGGGGGTTGCAGATCCACGTAACGTGGCCTAAGGTTGGGCTTTGTGGTACCTTCTGGCACTCCAGGAATTCCACACACACAACGCCACTTAGGCTCATTCAGAGAAAACAGGGTGGATAGCCAGTGGGCTGCTTTATCTTTTGTTTGCCAAAATGACTCTGGCTTTACAAAGGGAAGAAAGAAAATAAAACAGGGGGAGGACACCCCCCTTTTCCTCCAACTGAAAGCTTTTGATCCGTTTGTTCTGTTCTCAAACAGCATAGAAGCCGTTGCTTTCTTCCTGGATGATTTTTCAACTTTTCAGCTCACCCTACAGCTCTGGAGTTTCCTAGTGGTCCCCCATCCAAATAATAACCCTCCGAAGATTAACCCAGCAAAGTCTGCCAAGAGCTGGCCCCCAGGGCTGTAGATAAACAGGTAAAAAAGAGTCCCCAAAACAGGTGCAAGCTAGTCTCAACAACAGACTAAACCAAGGGTAGGCAACCTGGGCTTTTATGACTCATGGACTTCAACTCCCAGAATTCCTGAGCCAGCCTGGCTCAGCTTGGAAACCTCTCCCTTTCCCCTCAGCGTGGCTGGCTCAGGAATTCTGGGAGTTGAAGTCCACCGGTCATAAAAGAGCCAAGGTTGCCTACCCCTGGGTTAGGAAGCTCACCGCTTAGAACAGGAGGACTTAGGCCAGGGGTAGGCAACCTTGGCTCTTTTATGACTCATGGACTTCAACTCCCAGAATTCCTGAGCCAGCCTGGCTACCTCTCCCTTTCCCCTCAGCATGGCTGGCTCAGGAATTCTGGGAGTAGAAGTCCACCTGTCATAAAAGAGCCAAGGTTCCCCACCCCTGCCCTATATCATGGCTCAACCTTAGCTAATTTAAGACTCGTGGACTTCAACTCCCAGAATTCCTCAGCCAGCCTGGCTCAGCTTGGAAACCTCTCCCTTTCCCCTCAGCATGGCTGGTTCAGGAATTCTGGGAGTTGAAGTCTACGAGTCATAAAAGAGCCCAGGTTGCCTACCCCTGGACTAAACCAAGCTTACTCCAGGGGGCATCCTGCAAATGTTAACCCTGTTATATTCTCTCTCTCTCTCTCTCTCTCTCTCACACACACACACACACACACACACACACACTAGAATAGCTATGTCAGGTGGGGATCACTGGAGCTTTCATACAACTCGTCCGAAAAGCAACTAACTAATTAGAAAAGGCTGGATTACATCCTTCCACAGTAGGCTGCTCTGTCTTCTCCAATACCCTCCCAGTTTCTGCCCTTCATTACGAAAGGTAGCCTTCCCCAATGTCCGTGAAACATAATAATGCACAACTGAACTTCTTCAGTTGTGTGGCTTTGGCAAGAGACATCTCAAGTGAAGTGACTGTGAGGTAAACTGGTCCCTGCGATACCAGGGGCTAGTGGTGCACATTGTGGAGCAAGGCTTCTGTTTTATTCGAAATGCAGCTGGAGGTAGTCCACAGTCCATTTCTCTCCCTTCCTCAGCAACATCCAAGGAATCCACGGAAGGGTGTAGGCTTCCCTGACTGACCAGAGGGTTGGACTAGAAGACCTCCAGGGTCCCTTCTCCCAGCTCTGTTTTTCTGTTACGTCATTGCGCTTTGTCCTTGGCAAGGAACGTGTACCCGGGATGAGACAAGAGTGTGTTTTCTCCCTCTCTGCCTGCGTGCACAAGTACCCACACAAGATAAAAAAAAAAATCTCCTATTATGGTTACAACTGCTGTGAAGCGAGGCGTCCATTGCAATCGGTTTCGCAACCGTCTGGCGTGGTTTCTCGCGTCATTCCAACAGGAGAACCACAGCGTGGCCCGGTTGCGGCTTCTATCTCCCGTAATCCCAAAGGTTGGCCGAAGGGAAGCGTTTCAGCCGGTTCTCCACCTGGGTTTCAAGCCGGGCGACATTCCCCAATCACTATAACCGATTTCAAATGGTGCTAGAAAGAAGAACAGACTCCGAACACCAGAAGAAATCAGTTATCCTTTAAAGGGGTCACTGGAGTCCGCGAAGGTCAAGACTGGCGACAATCACACCAACAACTACTGGGAATCTTTGGGAGTGTTGTGGCAGAGCCGTGTTTATCAAAAAGCCCAGTTAAGAAACGGGATATTAAGCGTATCAATAAACTCTGCTCTTGCTCGGTCTTTCAGATGTTGGCATTATAGGCCATTATGGCCCCCGTTGCCGTTTTTCTCCAATTTGGGGTCTTCCGGAGACATGAGAATACAAATCCTAAGAATTTCCAGCCAGCTGCACCAACACAACTGGGGGAGGGAGTAATCCTCTGGAACAGGGCTAGGCAACCTCGGCTCTTTTATGAGAGAATCAACCTGGAACTAAGGAGAAACTTCCTGGCAGTTAGAACAGTTAACCAGTGGAACAACCTGCCTCCAGAAGGGGTGAATGCAACACTGGAAGTTTTTAAGAAGAGACTGGACAGCCATTTGTCCGAAATAGTGTAAGGTTCCTGCCTGAGCAGGGGGTTGGACTAGATGACCTCCAAGGTCCCTTCCAACTTTATTATTATTATTATTATTATTATTATTATTATCATTACTATTATTACTACTACTATTATTATTATTACTCCCAGAATTTCTGAGCCAGCATGGCTCAGCTTGGAAACCTCTCCCTTTCCCCTCAGCTGGCTCAGGAATTCTGGGAGTTGAAGTCCACGAGTCATAAAAGAGCCAAGGTTGCCTACCCCTGGCCTAGGAGGCTCACCGCTTAGAACAGGAGGACTTAGGACAGGGGTAGGCAACCTTGGCTCTTTGATGACTCGTGGACTTCAACTCCCAGAATTCCTGAGCCAGCATGGCTGAGCTTGGAAACCTCTCCATTTCCCCTCAGCATGGCTGGCTCAGGAATTCTGGGAGTTGAAGTCCACGAGTCATAAAAGAGCCCAGGTTGCCTACCGCTGCTCTGGAACATCAATTCTTAAATATTTGCTAACTTAATTTAAAAAGGTAACAAGCTGGCACAGAAACCATTCTGGAAAAGGGGTTTTCTGCCGAGTCAACTTATTAAAACTCTCTTACAACCAGCTCTAAATGTCTCCTATTGGCAATCTGTCAATGACATTCTCATAGTATGCACACACACACACACACACACACACACACACACACACACACACACACACACTTCCAAGCCCAGTATCTTGCCCAAGAAGCCAGGTATATTTCTGCAAGGGAGAGGTTCGCTTCAAATTGTCTAAGTAACCTGGCTTTGTGATCTCGGTTTTCCTGGTGAGGCCGTGCATGAAAAGAGGCCATAAATCCGTGTAAATGAGGCGGTCACAGAAGCTTTTATCAGAAGCAACAGGTGGACTCTCCGAAACGGGTCAACGCGCAGCCGTTCTTCCCCCAAAAACACTGATTTCAAATGGTGCTAGACCTTGTGTACTTAAATCTAAACCACCATATGAAACCAGATTCCTGAAGAAGCTCCAGACGAGGCCTCCTGGTAGCTAAGGCGTTATTAAAGGCGGAGATTAACGTACGCTGGCGGTTTCCTTTTTTCATTTCGACGAAGCTGAGATGGTAAAGACTCCTCAGGAGAAAGCCGTGTTCCTTTCCCCCGGGGCCCTTTTCTTGAAGCAGCCAAAATATAGCTCTGAGCCTGTTGTAGGAAACATTTAACCACTTTCAGGGCGAAAGAAGCTGCAAGAGCGAAAACACACGGAAGAAATAAAAAGCTGTCAACCTCGCCGGTTTTCCACACTCAACAACCTGCCTTAAGTCTGCGTAAATTCGTAAGCGTGCCACGGGAAAAAATAGTAAAGGAGCCCTTATGGATTTTTACTCTGACTATAGGGGGCAGTGCTCACCTCCATCTGCTGTCTGAGGAGGTTTCCACAGTCACGTCGCCAGCGTGGTTACATGCCAAAGGCCTTGGGAATGCTCTTACTTTCCCACTGGGAAGTGGTACCTATTTACCTACTCGCATTTGCGTGCTTTCGAACGGCAGGAGTTGGGGCGAGGAACGGGAGCCCACCCCCTGGCGTGGTGCGCGGGTCTCGTGGCTTTCCAACTGACTGTCAACGCTGCTAATATCGTATATTCTTGCTTTGACAAAATATGCTGAACTGCCTGGTACTTTTAGAGTTAATTCAGAGGAGAGAGAGGGAGGAGGGAAAAGCCCGCGAAAGAAGACGGAAGGGAACCTTTGCCCTTCAAACTAATTGGGGAACGTACATCGTGACAGCAAAATAGGGGAGGGAAATGCTAGCAAAATAACTGCTCGGTGGGTGGGGATTTCAGATCTCAGCATTCCTTTCTTCATGCCTGTGCCGACATTTTTGTCACACCAATAAAAAGACTTTTTTAGGATAAAATGCCTGGAAGTTCTTTGAAGTGTTTCATTAGTCGGAACCGTGACATCATGCTCAGATCTGAAATCCCCACCCACCGAGCAGTTATTTATCTTTCAACTGCTGAGCCACGGCACTGCCAACGTGTTGCCCCTCTTGGTATCTAACCCCAAAATGTGTAACTCGAGGTTCCAGGGATTTCAGGAGCACTCGGAAAGCTGAACTGGAAATGATCATCTTGAAGCCAGAGGGCTATGTGAGGTGAGCCTCAAGAGCGAGCCTCCACAGGACCCCCCAATATAAAAAAAGGCAAAGCTCTTTTGTGTTTTGCTCAACTCCTGGTGACTTCTCCACGCGGTTTCCTTTGCAACGGCATGGAATTGGCACGGACTACTTCCGGGATGTAAGTCTGAGACTCGGGGCCAAAGGGTTGTCATCCGTTGTCGAACAGCAACATGGAAGATTTTCTGCTCTGCATTCTGTAATCAAAAGGTCCTTCCTTGACCAAAGGCCAAAAGGCTTTATTTAAGCTTTGAACTATCTAAATCTGACATCCAAACGACTGGGAGCGTTGCTACCAAACCAAATGTGGATCTCCCTCAGCTCCATCATCTTTCCCTTACCTCTCTGGGGGCGAAAAGGCGCTGCCGACAGCCAGCCAAGTCAAGTGAGGGGCCCAGATCACGCAAGGAGAAGAGGGTCTGCCCCAGGCCAGGAGGCACCGTGGAGTTTGCTGATGCTGCTTTCCCTCAAGTTCCTCCTCCAGAGGACCAAAACAAAACAAAAAAAAAATGCAAATAAAGTCTTCCTCCCATTTGTAAAAAGAAAACACAGGCTTCCTGTTGGATCCTCTTGCTTGTCGTAGTTGGTTCAGAGATGGAGACCACCCTGAAGGTATTTCCTCAGCAAATGATAAAAATGATCATCTTGAAGCCAGAGGGCTACGTGAGGTGAGCCTCAAGAGCGAGCCTCCACAGGACCCCCCAATATAAAAAAAGGCAAAGCTCTTTTGTGTTTTGCTCAACTCCTGGTGACTTCTCCACGCGGTTTCCTTTGCAACGGCATGGAATTGGCACGGACTACTTCCGGGATGTAAGTCTGAGACTCGGGGCCAAAGGGTTGTCATCCGTTGCCGAACAGCAACATGGAAGATTTTCTGCTCTGCATTCTGTAATCAAAAGGTCCTTCCTTGACCAAAGGCCAAAAGGCTTTATTTAAGCTTTGAAGTATCTAAATCTGACATCCACCTAATAATAGTGAATGTCGCAGCATTGATTTATTTTTTATTTTTTGAATTAATCCTTCAGATGCTGCCTTTCCCTCCATCTCCTATCTTGAAATGTTCTTTTTTTTCATTTCTTCTCTTGCAACCTGCAAAGAATAAAAAAATAATAATAATTCAGGTTCTGTTTCACAGCTGAACACTTATTTCTTCTCCCTTCCTTGGAGAAGGATATTTCTTTGACTAAAAATTCTAAAGAAGAAACTACCCATAACATCAGTTAATGGATATCAACGGGAAAGCATGCAACCTGAAAATGTAACTCTGAGATTAACGCAAATGACATGAACAGGCGAATTCGTCACGAAATTTCTTACAGGAGGTAACGTTTCTTTATGAAATGTTTTAAAAAAAATACCAAGATCACTCTTTTTCTTCCCCTACTCTCTTTTCCCTGATTGGTACACATAAAAAAAAAAATGTGGTTTTCAAATTTCAGAGCAATTTTTTTTCCCCTTCCTGATCTTCTATCTGGGCTGGACTCAGAATGAAGTTGCTGACAGGAAAGCAGACAGGAAATCTGATGTAAAAAAAAAACCCCAACCTTAAAAGTTCTTTTTTTAATGAAATATTTACAGACTAGCTCTCTTCCAACTTTCAATCACATTGCCCATTATCCTGTGGTGTGGATCCTTCACTGCTTCCCAGCAACAATCTTAACTAATCTAGGTCTCCTGTGGTGTATCATATAGTCAGATATAATTCAGATTTATAAAGGTCACCTTACTCAGCATGGATGCAGGACGACATACAATTAAAATCAATACGATGGCTAACAATAAAATATAAAAATAACATCACCTAGGAGCTAACTGAGGGAACATACCATAACCCAAGGAGGTTCTGCACCAAACTGATAGAACATCGGTCTATTCCAGAACCTGGGGGAAAAACACCCCCTACATTTTTAAAGGTTGTCTCAAGCTTTGCAGGACTGGAGAGATTCAAACATCTGGATAGATATTATTCTGAAGGTCATCATGATTCTGTGCGTCCTCCTCTGTTTCTCTATGTAGACATCAACTATATAATACAGAGATGGAAGGGGTTGCAGGCTCTCTGGTCCAACTCCAGAAATTCAAAGTATCCACAGGGTACTGCTTAAAAGTCTCTGAATCAAGAGGAGGAGAAAATCCTGTTCCCCCGGCCTACAGGATGCCGCCACGATCTTTCTGTCACCTTTTAATCTAGCTGAGCCCTTTTTTTTTTCCCAATTTACCTTTTTACTAAGCTCCTGAATCACAAGGCAGCATTAGATTTAACCCCGAATCATGTCCTTCATCTCTCTCTGTTTCTCATCCTCTTGATTTCTCCGAGTATAATTTAAGTTATGTTCCAGCAGGGGGCGGCCGTTATCCAAACATGGCTGATCTCAAAGCACTGCCAGTAATTGTGTCTTGGAATCTGAAGGGAAAACATTTTCAAGGGGTTTAAAAAAAAAAAAATCCATTTGCTTTTTTTTTTTTTTGTAAAAAAAAATTTTATTTTCAATTTTGCAATGCGTTACATTCATAAAAATACTTCAGATAAAGAGTAAAATAAATTTATACACACAACTGCCATAAAGTTGTGGGGCTGCCATAAAGAAGAGGGAGTCAAGCTATTCTCCAAAGCGCCTGAAGGCAGGACAAGAAGCAACGGATGGAAACTCATCAAGGAGAGAAGCAACCTGGAACTAAGGAGAAACTTCCTGAGAGTGAGAACAATTGATCAGTGGAACTACCTGCCTCCAGAAGTGGTGAATGCTCCAACACTGGAAGTTTTTAAGAAGAGACTGGACAGCCATTTGTCTGAAATGGTAGAGGGTTTCCTGCCTGAGCAGGGGGTTGGACTAGATGACCTCCAAGGTCCCTTCCAACTTTACTATTATTATTATTAACTAGTATGTGTAGTCTAATGAAGAGAAGGACAAGGGGGGACATGAGAGCAGCCTTCCAGTATCCCAGGGGCTGCCCCAAAGAAGAGGGAGTCAAGCTGTTCTCCAAAGCGCCTGATGGCAGGACAAGAAGCAACGGATGGAAACTAATCAAGGAGAGAAACAATCTAGAACTAAGGAGAAACTTCCTGACAGGGAGAACAATTAACCAGTGGAACCACCTGCCTCCAGAAGCGGTAAATGCTCCAACACTGGAAGTTTTTAAGAAGAGACTGGACAGCCATTTGTCTGAAATGGTGTAGGGTTTCCTGCCTGAGCAGGGGGTTGGACTAGATGACCTCCAAGGTCCCTTCCAACTTTACTACTACTACTACTACTACTACTACTACTACTACTACTACTACTACTACTACTACTATTACTATTATTATTATTATTATTATAACGTTCGGTATTGCTCACCCATTTCCCCCCAAACCGCCTCCACCCTGTAACCTACTTCTCTCTTTCCCTCTTCTTCCTCACTCTCCCCCTCTCCTCCTTCTCCTCAACCTTCCTACTTGCTTCTCCCCTTCCTCCTATCTTCTCGCTCCGGATACGGTCCAGGGGAAATGCCCGAGCAATTCCTCTCTCCAAATTAAAACATCAATATTACATACAATAAAACTATTTCTACTTATCTGAGCTACTTAAACTTCAACCCATCCTCCCCCCCACCCTCTCCCCCCCACCCCGACTTCCCAGAGCCAAGTACAGAAAAATCCATTTGCCTTTTAAAAAGCACCTTTGGGACAAGGGTGACCGGACGGGACGATTTGAGAATTCCCACAGACGCGGGGAGTGGCTGGATCTGAATGCGGTCTGTCTGCATGGGGAGAATCATCCAGACATTCCAGGACTGTCGACGGGACCATCTCCATCAAGCCCCCAGGAATCAAGCTGGCCTCTTTGCCTCTTGATTCACCTTTCTCAGCCGTTCGGATCCACACAATACTTAACTGGGCCGTGGAAGATCTGGAGGATGTGATCTGCACAAGGCATGGAGCTTGGTTAATTTTAACTTTACTTTGGGCTTCAGCATGCTGTGCGAATGAGATGGCTGGATGGAGTCACTGAAGCAATAGGTGTGAACTTAAATGGGCTCCAGAAGATGGTAGAGGACAGGAAGACCTGGAGGAACGTTGTCCATGGGGTCGCGATGGGTTGGACACGACTTCACAATTAACAACAACAACAAAATGCTGTGCAAAATAATATTTTCACTGGCAACAGCCGAGAAGAGGATTGCCATTGCCTTCTGCTTTTCAAATCCCAGAACTACCTGGGGTTCTGGGACTTTTGGGCAGCCCTCATATATAATCTTGCGAAGAGACAGTTTGGTCTAGTGGTGAAGGCACCAGGCTAGAAACTGGGAGGTCGTAGGTTCGAGTCCCATCTTAGCCATGAAAGATGGCTGGGTGACTTTGGGTGAATCAATAAGAGACTATGAGTTCTAGTCCCGACTTAGACATGAAAGCTGCCCAGGTGACTTTGGGCCAGTCCTCTCTCTCTCTGAGCCCAACTCACCTCACAGGGTTGTTGTGGGGAAAATAGGAGGAGGGTGGATAGAATATGCTTGCCACCTTAAGTTATTATTTATTAATATCCAGTTTTGGTCACCACGATGTAAAAAAGAGGTTGAGACTCTAGAAAGAGTGCAGAGAAGAGCAACAAAGATGATCAGGGGACTGGAGGCTAACACATATAAGGAATGGTTACTGGAATTGGGTATGTCTAGTTTAACAAAGAGAAGGACGAGGGGGGACATGATAGCATGTTTTTTCAGTATCTCAGGGACTGCCCCAAAGAAGAGGGAGTCAAGCTATTCTCCAAAGCGCCTGAAGGCAGGACAAGAAGCAACGGATGGAAACTAATCAAGGAGAGAAGCAACCTAGAACTAAGGAGAAACTTCCTGACAGTGAGAACAATTAACCAGTGGAACAACCTGCCTCCAGAAGTGGTGAAATGCTCCAACAAGGAAGTTTTTAAGAAGAGACTGGACAGCCATTTGTCTGAAATGGTATAGGGTTTCCTGCCTGAGCAGGGGGTTGGACTAGATGACCTCCAAGGTCCCTTCCAACTTTGTTGTTGTTGTTGTTGTTAGAGGAAAAGCTCATATATTGGAAACCAAAACCCATCTCACCTTTGTAACAAGCATCGTTGGGTTCAAGACACCCTCCTGAGAAGACTCACACCTGAAATTAGAAAGCAGCTTTGTTATTATTCAAAATATGCCAGCCAAAAAATCCTCTGCAATCGTTGCTTGTCATCCACAATCTAGAGCATGGGTGTCAAATTGCCAGCCCACAGGCCGGATGCGTCATGTGGAAGCCGCACCCACCCCATTGCCGGCAATGGCAAAACCGGCCCGATACGTTGTGCGACGTCACGTGACATCGCCAGTTTGACATGTCTGATTTAGAGCAAAGAAAATGTGGGAACCTCGAAAAACAGAATTAAGCTTTCTCTTGCCCCGAGAGCTTGTACTGCTGTGCAGCTGTTCATAAAGTTACCTGAAACAACATTCCCTTTGAGTGTTAGAGGAAACCTCTAAAGCAATGGTTCTCAACCTTTTTAATGCCGCGACCCCCCAACTGGTCGTAAGTCGAGGACTACCCAACCGGTTGTAAGTCGAGGACTTTCCCTGCCCGGGAGCACCGTGCATGTGTGGTGCCGCCCCCTGCGCAGGCCAAGGCGTAGCTGGCAAGCAGCAGAGATGGAGCAGGCCGACCACCGGCTGGGCCACCAGCTGGCCCAGCCCAAGGGAGGTAAGCCACCCACCGGGCCCCACGCGTGCCAGCAACCCTCCCTGCACCCACCGGCCTCCCACCTCCCACCCCTGGCCTTACATTGTTAGTAGTTGCTCAGCAGGGAGGGGTGGAAACTTCCAGACAGCTTGCCTTCGCTGCAGACAACTTGCAGCACCGTTTGCAGACTGGGACTTTTGGCGGGCTCAGCAGGGCAGAGACAGCCTGGACAATTCCTATTGGCTTTTGAAAGCCATTAGAATTAGACTCTATTCAAGAGAGTCTATTCTATTGGCTTTCAAAAGCCAATAGAATAAAAGGGAGTAACACAGCTAAGGAAAAGGGGGAAAAAATGGCGGACTGCGTTGTTTGGCAACCCCCGTGAAATGGTCGTTCGACCCCAAATGGGGTCCCGACCCACAGGTTGAGAACCGCTGCTCTAAAGTTTTAACAATAAAAACCAATGACCCAGAGCCAGGTTTTTTAACCTTGACAACTTTCAGAGGCGTGGACTTCAACTCCCAGAAGTCCTCAGCCGGCATTCTGGGAATTGAAGCCCACATATCCTAAGGATGCCAAAGTTGAAAAACACTGACCCAGAGGAGTAGCGGTTATCATTTCACTGTGCATATATTAAAGCAGAAGCACAAAGTAAGGTTAAAATTGGAGAAGCTCTGATTTGGACCACAGCACTAAGCAATGGGTGGGACCCTATGTCCTTCTTGCCCTTCTCTTCTCTGGAATTCTATCAACAACTGTGCAAGGAAGGAAAAATGCAGATTGCAGAACGATTTTCTTGAATCGTGGCTCAAAGCTTGGGTTAAACTGAAGCACAAAACCCCCTTTTCCAATCCAGTTCTCAGTCTGCCCATCTCCTTGGCTAGTATTCCCGGTAAATCTCAATCATGGCTGGGACAGCAATGGCTAAATACATTGAAAGGTGGAACCAGGATCTTTTTTTTCACAAAATGACCGAATGGAAGAATTTCCACCCAACTTTCACGGGCCCTTAATTTATTCCTAAAGCAAACAAATAGCCGCTCTGAAACTGGGCTAGGAATGCCTATTCATTGATCTCAGTTTGTTAGTTTCCTCACTTGGGTTCGAGAAGGGTGGTTATTTTGAAGGATAAATGATGACAACTGGCGGGGAGGTTTCGGCAGAGTCTCGCCCCATTCTCCATTCCAGAAAACCATCCCAACTGGATCCTCTCGTTTGGCGTCCTTTGAGTGGCGAAGCCGTGGCCTTCTGATTCAAAGTGCCTTTATTTTTAAAAAATGTATGCAAAGGATGATCCTATATATCAGTGGTTCTCAACCTGTGGGTCGGGACCCCATTTGGGGTCGAATGACCATTTCACGGGGGTCGCCAAACCATGCTGTCCACCATTTTTTTCCCTTTTCCCTAGCTGTCCTACTCCCTCTTATTGGTGGCCACACCCACTTGGGGGTCACCACAACATGGGGAACTGTATTATGGGGTCACGGCATTAGAAAGGTTGAGAATCACTGCTATATATAGTCTAACCCAGGGTTGTCCATTCTTGGCCACTTTTAAGACATGTGGACTTCAACTCCCAGAATTCCCCAGCCAGCGTGAGGTCAAAATGTTTTATTCGTATGTTTTTAACGACTTTTTACGATTAAGACAATTCTGCGAGAAAGCAAAGCTTGAGAAATGTTGAAGACTTTGGAAAGAGTAGAGAGAAGAGTGACAAAGATGATTAGAGGGCTGGAAGATAAAATGCATGAGGAACAGTAGCAGGAATTGTGTATGTCTAATCTAATGAAAGGGACTAGGACAGCCATGACAGCAGTCTTCCAATATTGGAGGGACTTCCACAAAGATGAGGGGGTCAAACTATTTTCCAAAGCACCAAAAGGCAGGATAAGAAACAATGGGATGAAGCTAACCAACCTAGAACCAAGGAGAAATGTCCTGGTTGTTAGAACAATCAACCAATGGAAGAGCTTGCCTCCAGAAGTTGTGGGTGCTCCATCACTGGAGACGTTCAAGAAACGACTGGACAACCATTTGCCTGAAAATGGTATAGGGCAAGGGTAGGCAACCTTGGCTCTTTTATGACTGGTGGACTTCAACTCCCAGAATTCCTGAGCCAGCCATGCTGAGGGGAAAGGGAGAGGTTTCCAAGCTGAGCCATGCTGGCTCAGGAATTCTGGGAGTTGAAATCCACGAGTCATAAAAGAGCCAAGGTTGCCTACCCCTGGTCTAGGAGGCTCACCGCTTACAACAGGAGGATTTAGGACAGGGCTAGGCAACCTTGGCTCTTTTATGACTCGTGGACTTCAACTCCCAGAATTCCTGAGCCAGCCTGGCTCAGCTTGGAAACCTCTCCCTTTCCCCTCTGCACGGCTGGCTCAGAAATTCTGGGAGTTGAAGTCCACGAGTCAAGAACCAAGGTTGCCTACCCCTGGCCTAAGTCCTGCTGTTCTAAGCGGTGAGCCTCCTAGACCAGGGGTAGGCAACCTTGGCTCTTTTATGACTCGTGGACTTCAACTCCCAGAATTCCTCAGCCAGCATTGCTGGCTGAAGTCCATGACCTGGTTTAGGTCTCTTCCTTCAGCAGGGGGTTGGACTAGAAGACCGCCAAGGTCCCTTCCAACTGTGTTGTTCTATTATTCTATATTCTGAATTAGGGTTACAGGTAGAGAGAGGGCATTGCAGCTCCCCAGTCTTCCCACAGCAGAGTCATTTCAACTTCCACTCTAATCTGAAATAATCCCTGCAACGCGGCCAACTCAAAACAACTGAGCTGGATCCAACAAATTCTCTGTCTGGCTCTTTAGTTTCATCCACCCCAAACTGCCCATCGTGAAAAGGACAGAGGGACTCATGCTTGGGCGTCCCCACCCAACGGGTTCTAGAGAAGCTGACTGATTTGTAGTGTTGCCCTGTAAAAAAAATTTTTTTTATGAAACTCTTTGGAGTTTGAACAAAGAAATGATAGAAAGCAGGCCTTTGGCCCTTTCTCAGAAAACAGCCCCGTACATACCGTACAAAGCTAGTAACTTCTGGAATTTGGTTGATTTCCGTCATCTCCTTTAATGAATCAAGAGTCATGTTAGCTCTTTCCTTACCCTCCCATTTTTTTTATTTTGCAAGCCTTCTGATGAATTGGCACAAAAGGAAAAAAAAAAGTGGGGAGGGAATGGAATTCTGGGAAAAGCATTTCTGGGGTTTTTTTTAATTCATTTGTTCTGAAAATTGCTGAAAGAAGTCACTATTCTGCTAGCAATTCTATGCAGATGTTTTAAATAAGGGAGCAAACTTGAAGGAGCTTATTGGGAAACGTAAGAACCGTGTGCTGACAGTACCAATTAAAATCCAGAATCAATTCAGGAAAAAGAATCAGACCAAATAAAAACCTACAAATATAACCAATGCCAGGAACCAAAAGAATATTTTAAGTAGGCCCAGTGGGACTTTGGGGGGGTTTTCTCCTTCCCTTAAACAGCAAAGGACCATGCTTTAAATAACAGTGTGCAAACTTTACGGATATTTCTATATTTCTCTGGTAAATTCAGTGATATTTATTCTCAGGTTTTGGTGTACACTAAGGACTTCTGCTTGGCCATCTGCTACAGAGAGTTAATTACAAGCAAGTCCTTGACATCTTTGCTCTTAGATTATGCAAGTTTGCATAAAATTCATAGGTTAAAAAAGGCATTGTATGAAGAATGCGTACAACTATGTATTTCCACCACTAACCGTAATGCACGTTTATTATAAAACTTTATCTAACTTTATATCCCAATGCAAATACACGTCATCAGTCTAATAAAGGCTGCTGACTAAATTTACCAAATGGCAGAAGATTCATAGTTTAAGATTTAGCATAGTTTTAGGATATGAAAATACTACGGAAAAGTCCATTCATCGCCCAAACAATTTCCCAGATTAGAACTATGATAACACAATTTCAAGTTATCTCAATCTAGCTTTGCCCTAACTACTACTGTCTTCAGATGACAATACTCAGAACGCATAAACGCAAAGCGGTTCAAGTCTTCTGAGGAGGATAGACACATACCGGCGATTACATCCAAAGAATTCTAGATGACTTAAGTGTTTAGTCTCTCTATTTTACCATATTTTAAACCTTTTTCCCTCCTGTAAAATACGTTAACATAAACACAGTGGGTATTTCTTCTCAAAGGAATTCTCTCTCTCGTGCTGAATTTGTTGTTACCTGTAGTATATCTTCCTCCTTTTCTCATCTTTTTAAAATGAAAATTATTGTTAAGGATCTAACTTTGCCTGATAGAAAAGTGCACAAATTTTAGGGAAAAAATAAATATAGAGAAACTCTCTCCTCTCCAAAAGGTACGTGTGGAAGTCATGAAAGACAGTAAAAACGGGGCATGGCATAATGTATTGTTAGTATCTCTCTGCTCTGGCCACTTAAGGGAAAGTGGAATGTATATACT